GTGTCCGCAGCAACTTGTCCGCAACTTTCAACTCGGGAACCACAAAAGCTAGGAAACTGAAAATTTGGGGAAACGTTCCCCACCCACGTGTGACTCCGCAAATTTAAATTCAGCTTCCCCGTACCCGCAGGTAACGCGTATGATCCCTTGAAAGTTTTTTACAGGTAAGTTTAATATCTCGGGAACCACAGAGTCTCGGAAGCTGAAATTTTAGGGTAATTACCTCTGCCTACGCTCAACCTAGCCCATTTAAATTCAGCCTTCCCTTACCCGCGGGTAACACGTACGGCCACGTGAAAGTTTTTTACGGATAAATTAGTATCTCGCGAACCACGGAGTCTAGGAGGCTGAAATTTTAGGAGAATGACCCCCTGCCTCCGCTCAACCTTGCCCATTCAAATTCAGCGTTCTCGCGCTCTCATGTACCACCTACGGCCTAGTGAAAATTTTTGCGAGTAAACTATTAACTCGGAAATCACGGAAAGATATTCATCCTTTAAGGTTCCGAATTCAGCTTTCACGCGCTGGTGCGTGAAATTTTTAACTGTTTTCCTATGCTTGAACTATTTTTGCATAGATCAAAGTACAGAGCTGTGAAAAGCATTAATAGGCAATCGTTCGATGGGCTGAATTGCACAAAACGCATGGTCGCACCGGCTAGCCTGGTGCGCGTTGCTGTTTATTTAGCTTGCCTCCTCCCTCCTTTTTCTCTTTGATTTCCTTCATTTTGCTGATTTCTGACGGTACGTTTGTTGGTTCTTTTCCCGGCGGGGCTCTTTTGCCGTTCCCTATTCGAATAATTTGAGATTTTCGTGAGTGGGGAATATCCTTGGTTCAGCACTGTTCAGCAGTTTCCTGCATTTCGCACTGCAGTCGCATTTCTCAACGACTAGCTCCAAAAAGCATGAAATTATTTTCTACGGCGTAATAGGTCAGCCGTCATAATGGCAGGAAATTTAAAATTTATTCCGTACTTAATTTTGGGATTGCGAAATATTCGAAACTGTATGAAAACAGCAGCGCATATGTTAAGTCGTTTTGTAGCATCCATGTTGATGGGTGCCAAAGTAAGGGAAGTGTATATAAAGGGGAAAAAATAGTAGGAGAAATATAGTAGGAAAAACAGTTAAATTAGGACGTTTCTGTCCATTATTTCATATACGTCTTAGCTCAACACAACGGCTAGACCTCGTCAGTATGACGGTCGTGGTGTTCAGGGATGAGGAGGAAAGGAAGGAATGTAAAGGAGAGGGAAAAAGGTGTTAATTTGCTCACCGCTGAATTTTTTCATAGGTTTTTTTTAAGTTGTAAAAGTTGCATCGTAGCAGCATCAAACTCTGTTGCAAATTGGGCAGGAGCAATCTGAAATTTATATCGCTTTAGTCAAATTTTTTTGTTCCAGTAAAAGGCGTAACGATGGATCATTGATTCGCGAACAGGGCAGGCAACTGCTTCTTACGAGGATGCAGTTCCTGGAACTGCTGCGATTGATCAAGGTTCAGTTTTCTAGCTCTTTAAATAGTAATTGTTTTCGCTTGATATTCTCTCGTGCTAGATGTATTTGATGTATTTGTATGAACTGTAGGAATTTTTCTAGGAGCAGCGTACTCTGTCATTTTTGATAAGCTTCATTGGCAAAATGTTCAATGCGGCACTGTTGAAGAATGAGCCTACTGGATCAGCCCCAGGACAAGAAATCTATAAAGGCATTTTTGTAGAACATTCCGATTATTGGTTGTCCTGTATTGAGTGAGTTTTTTTTTTGAATTTGTTTCTTCGCATGCTTTTTTAAAATTTTTCGCCAAAAAAACCCTGTCGTGCACGATCCGATGCTCAGTTTATGCATAGACAGTTTTTCCTCTGTAGCAGCTACTTCGAATTTTGAAAAATAATGCAAGTAATGGTCATTCCTTTCATAAGTAATTGGATGACAAGAAGCTCATAAATGTAATTTTGTTGGAGACCACGCGATAGGAAACGTGGATAAGGTTGACAGTTATGAAATAGAGAAAAAAAGACGTTCTACGTTTCTTGAGTGCCGACCAATTAGTGTGATTTTTCTGGCTAATGTAGAAAATTAAAGGCAGTTTGAAGCCTCATCCTGATGCATTTTCAAGAGCAGTGAATTTTTATGCGTTTTTTGCAGCTATGCAATGCAAAAAAGCATATTGACGGGAGGTTGTCTGTGTATTCGTGTGTCTGTTTGTGCGTCTGTTACGCATTTTCATCTCAAGACCTATAAAAGTTGCGGGGCTGAAATTTCGGGAATTTAATCTACATGCACGTGCCGCAATCCCCAAAATGGGCGCCCATACCCGCGTGCGGGCCCGCCAAAATTTTTTTCGGGTAAGTTCATAACTCGGGGATCTGAGAAGCTAGAAAGCTGAAATTTTAGATGTTCCCCGTCCAAATAGGTATTAACGAGTTCAAACCCTGCCCGCGGGTAAGCATGGTACTTACGTACGGGCCTTTGAAAGTTTCTTCCGGGTAAGTTGCTAACTCGGGAACGTGAGAAGCTAGAAGGCTGGGATTTTGAAGGGATGTTTTCTGACAGTCCTGGTGGCCAGTCTGAAATTCTTTTAGCTAGAAGCATCTGACAGAACCCAGGCTGGAACGCACCAGGCGGGCCGGTGCGATTATGCGTTTTTGCACTTCTCGTGCC